AGTGCTTCCATTGGCTGAAGAATAATAATAAAGGGAAACGAGGCATAGTGACCCTTAAGCTAGACATGTCCAAAGCTTATGACAGGCTGGAGTGGCCTTTTATCACTGCAGTGCTCTCTTCGATGGGACTTCCATCTCACTTGGTTAATCTTATCAAGAGATGTATCTCTACCGTCACTTACAGAATCCTAATTAATGGCCAGCCCAACAGGTGTTTTGCTCTGGAAAGTGGTCTCCGTCAAGGGGACCCTCTTTCACCATATTTGTTTATTTTATGTGCTGATATACTTTTAGGTTTGATGAAGAGACCTTTAAAGGAAAGATTCATGGTATCAAAATCGCAGGAAAAGCCCTGGTGATCACTCACTTATTTTTTGCAGACAACAGCCTGTTGTTTGCTCGTGCCAACTCTCAAGAAGCTGATAGGATCATGGCAATTTTGCAAAAATATCAGGAGTCCTCAGGCTAGGTGGTAAATCTTGAAAAGTCGGAGGCGTCTTTTAGTCAAAACGTTCATGAAGAAGAAAAAGATATGATCCGTTTAAAGATGGGTGTAAAGACTGTGAATAGCCACTCCAAATACCTTGTTTTACCAGTTGTCTTTGGGAGGTCCAAAAAGGGAATTTTTGTTTTTGTTGTTGAGAGAGTACGGAAGAAAATAAAAGGGTGGAAGGAGAAATTTACGTCACGTGCATGGAAGGAAGTTTTATCAAAGCGGTGGCTCAGGGAATTCCTAGTTACATCATGAGCTATTATAAACTGCCTGAAACTATCTGTCAAGAAATTGAAAGCATGCTGGCAATATTCTGGTGGGTTCCAAATACGGTGAAAGGAAAGTGCATTGGTTGAGCTGGGATAGGATAACTTGTGCAAAAGACGTGGGAGGAATGGATTCCTTGGCATTAGTGAATTCAACACCAGCCTCCTAGAGAAACATTATTGGAGACTCATGTCAAGTGATAATTCTCTTGTGGGGAGAGTGTTAAAAGGGAGGTATTATCTGATATCCAACATTGAAAACTGCTCCATGGGTTATGCACTAAGCTATGCGTGGTGGCGCAATATCTTAAGCTCAAAGGAATTAATTCAAAAGGGTTCTTGATGGAGGATAGGGAATGGCGAAAGTGTGATGGTTTGCACTGATAGATGGATACTTAGTAATGTTGGTTTTAGAGTTAGGGGATAGATCTGCAATATTGATAGGGGTGCAAAAGTGAGTGACCTCATAGATGGAGATTTGGGGCAATGGAAGCGTGATTTGATTTTCTCCAGTTTTGAGCATGGTGAAATGACCCAAATAGTCAGCATCCCTCTTTCTTTTAGAGGCATTGAAGAAAAATTGATTTGGCACCTCGAAAAAAATGGAGAATATTCTGTTAGATCAGCTTATCACCTGTGCATGAGGGACAAAACAATCAAAAGGCCTAGTACATCTTCTCTTTCGCATCCGAAACTATGGAAAGATATTTGGCGTTCGCCTCTCAACACCAGTAGGCGAAACTTCCTATGGAGGCTTGCCAAAAACATCTTGCCCACAAAGGATAATCTCAGGAAAAAAAGGTATTATACTTGATGTGTCTTGTTCGTTCTTCCAAAATGCCACTGAATCTGCTGGAAATTTTTTCCAGCATGCCATTCTCTTAGAAGTTATTATCCATAATGCCATTCTTTTCCTATAAATTTCCATAATACCATAGTTTCAAACACGTTTTGGTTTTTGGGGAAGCACTTCCGCCCTTCCAATGGGCGGCATCGTGCAGTTTATAGGACATCCGCCCTTTCAATGGGCGGCACAGTGTTGGTCTTTTTTTTTTTTTAATGAGTAATGTATTATTATTTATATTTATTATGTTTATGTTCATTGGAGTGTACTAGTAGTTTTGAATTGTACTAGTAGTTTTTTTCTTATATTATAAATACTATCATTAAATAATGCTCATTTCAATAATTATATCATGCTGGCAGTGTTTTTCATTTTAGATAATAATTATATTTATTATATTATTTTTATTTATTATGTTTATTATATTTAGTTAATAATCATTAAATAAATAATTATAATAAATTAAAATAAATTAAAATAAAAATAATTATTTTAAAAATAGTACTATTTAAAATAAATTACTATATTTAAATATATAATTATTATTATAAAATAAAATACAATAAATAAACTAAAATAAATTTTTATTTATTCTTGAAATACATTAAAATAAAATATAATAAATGAACTAAAATAAATGTCACCCTTAATTAATTTCGACCCGGTCGTGCAAGCGTTGGTGGGTTCCACAGGCAGGAGCTTGTACATTTCTGATTATATTAATATTAACATTATTGAAAATATTAATATTTACATTATTGATAATATTAATATTATTAAATAATAATAATATTATTAATAATAATATATATATATTGAAAATATTAATATTTACATTATTGATAATATTAATATTATTAAATAATAATAATATTAATAATATATATATATATATATATATATATATATATATATATATATATATATATATATATATATATATATATATATATATATATATATATATATATTAATAATATTAATTTTTATATTATTTATAATATTAATATTATTAAATAATAATAATATTAATAATATTATTATTAATATATATTAATAATATTATATATATTAATATATATTAATTTTAATATATATATATATATATATATATATATATATATATATATATATATATATATATTAATTATATTTTAAAAATAAAAGAAAAAAGAAAAAAGAGAAATGGTCATAGCCTCCCATTGAAAGGGCGGATGCTTTTAAAAATTGCTCATTGCCGCCCATTGATAGAGCGGTCGTTTTCAAACAAAAATTCAATTTTTTTGAAAAGATGATAATTTGAGATATACGTGAAAAACAATGGTATTATGGAAATTTTGTCCCAATACTATGGTAGGACAGTGAAAAATTCAAATCTGCTGAGCATCTGTTTCTGAATTGTGTTTTTGCAAAGCAAACATTCTTCTCTTCCATTCTGACTTACAGGTTACCAAATGAAACTGGGATTACTGAATGGCTGGAAAGTGTGTTCTCTGGTGGTGACACGTTTGGTCGATGGGTATCCCACAGTAGATCCAAATGGTCCTGTAATGGTTCATCTTTCCTCTTAATTGAATTTCTCTTTCCCATAAAAAAATTGAAGAAACCCATGAAACATAAACAAAATTCTGTTAGATTAAGCCCAGATTTAGATTTATTGAAAATAAAAGCAAAATATATATACATTTCATCACACAAGTAAACTCATATTTCTTCGACATTAAAGCCTCATCAATTCAACAAAGATCTTCGCAAAATCTGTTGACGCATATAAAAAAAATGTGACGAGATAATGTTTGAAGTATTAGATTTCCTTGTATTCCATAACAATGATGTTTGTTTGGTAGAAAATGATGAGATAAATGATGAGGATGTTATACAATTTCAACAAAACTCTTAATTTTAGATTTTTCTGGCAGTTAAGTTATGCAATTACTCGTGTCAAAAAAAAAAAGTTATGCAATTATCTCGTCCAAGTGAGAAATGGTTCTTCTTCATTTTGACTTAATGCAACAACAACAATTTCTATTTTTAATTTCCAGTCACCAAAAAAACAATTATAGAATGAGCGTGACAGAAGATTCTGAAACACTTCATTGGCTTTTTTTTTAAGTTTTATTTCATGTTTTAGGGATTAATTACATATTTTTGGAAAGTTCATGAAGCCCAAATGAAAAAGAGACGGGAATAGAATTGTGTGTACAAATATGTAAATGTTCTTAGTTTTAATTTAAGTAAATCTAAATCTAAATCTAATGGCTTTTTGTTTATGTTTCACCGGAGGGACTTAATTGATTTTTGAGGGACTTAATTGATTTTTCACTCTAGACGCACCCCCAAATGGAGTCTAAATTAGTTAATGAAGTATTTTCAAGTAACTAACAAAGAACAAAGAAATAGCCCCAAATGGAGTCTAAATTAGTTAATGAAGTATTTTCAAGTAACTAACAAAGAACAAAGAAATAGCTAATTGTAAAAAATAGAATGCCATTCCAAATCAATAAATGAATTAAATTAACCAACAATTTATAAGTTATCAACTTTACATTTTTTAATTTGTTCCAAAAAATAGTAATTAATCTTTCAAAAAAAAATTGATAAGTGTTTTTTTATAAGCCAAATATTCATTCCACCTTATAAAAATTATAATTCTCTACACAATTAAACTGGAAACCCCAAATTCATTGTTAGAAAATAATTTGATTTCTTGACCACCAAATAGACCGACAAACTTCAAACCAAATCCACATGAAGATTTTTTAGGACACCTTCCTCTCAACTTCTATCCACACCAGCAAATGATTATAATATTTGTCTTCATTGATCCAAACAACATCAAATCAAATCAGTCGAAAATTTTCCTATATCAACTTGATCCTAGAGCATGTGATGAAAAACATGATGAGAATCTAAAATAAGATCATAACAGAAAACGCATACCAAATCACGGGATTGACACATAATATACTGAATTAAAACCAAACATATGCATGGAGATGGAGAGTTCAAAAGTGGAATGTTAACTTATCCAAAACAAATGTTAAACGTATGCATGTTATTAACACATACTTCTTACTGACTTGTGAAAAGAAAAAATTGTCAAGAAAAATTAAACAGTACTTACAAGAATTTTCAAGAATGAAGTGGACTTTCCATAAATCCTTTCAAAAGAATTTCAAGGGGGAATGAAGCTGTACATAAATCTGTTCAAGAATTTTCATCTAGGTATTGATTATTATTTTCCCTTATACCTTACATATTACTGAAAAAACTTAACTTTGAAAAATCAATATGGCATTAAAATTTCAATCTTTGCATGTATGAGGCATGAATATAGGCTTTTGTAAATTGTATGTAATTGAAAGTTTGAGTCCAACTGTTGTAGCATTCTACAATGCTATGCCAAGGCCTGAGCCATCATGGAACGATTAGAGAGCTGCTGTTCATAAAGGCCACGGAATATCCTGTATTTAATTTCATGGTACTTCTTCACTTTCGGATCATTAGATGGATGAATAACCTGCAACAATCCATGCACCATATTAGTCATTCAGGGAAAACTCGAAGAGAGGAAAAGAGTTTTATTTCATAATCAAAATAAAACAAAAAAGTTTTATACAAAATGAATAAAGATAGAGATAAAGGTGTCCACACCTGACCAGCTGCATTCAGGGCTTTCATGGCCTCCCTAAGGCTACTATATTTCTTTGTTGCGACAGCACCCAGAATAGCAGCACCCAAGAGTACAGATTCACTTTCCCTTGGAAGAATTATAGGGCAACCTGGGATAATTATAATCGTGATTCATTATTTTCAAAAAGCTGAACACAGTATCATTTACATGCATAGGAAGTTATACTTTTTTATTGGGTCCACTGTACAAAATTTAATGGGCTCACTCTACAAAATGAATGAAAAATTGAGAGATGTATATCATCATTCATGCAAGATGGGTGAAATGGAGGAGCGCCTCAAGGGTAATATGTGATAAAAAAAAGGTACTACTCGAGCTATAGAGAAAATTTTATTGTATAACTTGGTGTATGGGGCGGAGATTTAGGCGCAAAAGTATTATCATGAGAGTATATTCAGTGTAGCAGATATGAAAATGATATGCCGGATGTGTGGAAATGCTAAACGAGATAAGATTGTGAATGATATCATTAGATTAAAGTGGGATAGCAGCTATTGTAGAAAAGATGGTTGAATGTTGTTTTAGGTGGTTTGGGCGTGTGAAGGAGACGAGGAGATTCCATAGTATGGATAGTAGATCAAATGGAGGATAACCCAACTGCTACAGGTAGAGAAGAACATCATGATCCTCCAAAAGAGAGACAAAAATATTGGAAACAATGACAACCCTGAAGAAGAACCAGATCACAGATCCGCCAAAGAACAAACACGCCCTTGAGGTGCTGTTGGCTTAGGCAGAGAAAAGGTTATATCAACCAATCATGAAAAGTGCAAGAATGGCCAGAAGTCCTACCGATGAACAAACACACCCTTGGTTGTTGTTGACTATCAACCAAACTAGACAGGATTGATACTATACAACACTAGATAATACTTACTAGTAAATTTAATTAATATTTTAAACTGATTTGTACATCGTGACATTTTATAGAATGAACTGTCCATGCATATATACTTTGTCGCTTCCCCCACCCCTTTCTCAACACATACCAATAATATCAGCATGTTCCTGAATGAAGACAGGGTTCTTTGATAAGCCACCACATGCAAGTAGTGTGTTGATCTGTGAGCAATAAAGAAAAGTTATTATGATATTAAAATCCATCAACACTGCATTACAGCCAAGAGTAATGACTTGGCAACAAAACAGGTATATACAACAATTGTACAGGTAACTCGGGGGGGCTGGCTCTATTTAGCACATCCACGCCTTCATAGCAAGTACATTTCAGGGGGTGTGAATGTAAATGTGAAATGGATGTTAAAAAATAGCCACCCAAAGAACTGGTAATAAACTCAAATATGTGTCATGGCATTGTACATCCTTACTTGGTGACCATGGGCATTGGAGTGTTCTACAATGTGACGTGTGCCATATGCAATGCCCTGCACAGTTGCCAGGTATAGAAGAGCCAACTGTTTGTCACTTGTATCAAGTGTCAAACCATAGATAACTCCTTTTGCTTTTGGATCTGCAATGGGAGACCTGGGGACCAACATGCATAACAGCGTATTATTCACAAGCCAATACTGCAAAAAACAAAGAGGAAAGGTGTTGGTTGCCAAATACCTGTTCCCATGAAAGTCAGGAAGAACATGTAAATCTTCAGTCAGGGCGCCTAAAAAGGATTGGTTCTGCTCAATCATAATTGTTTCCAAGAGCTTGTTTAGAAGCTCAAACACTGAGATCTCTGTAATATTAAAGCATAGAAAATTAGCCTCGTCAAAACATCAATCACAAACTCATTAATGTAAACATTTAGTATACTCCAAATGATGAAAAGAACAAAAAAAATTCTTACTTTGGGAAGCAGCTTGATTTGCTAGGAGCATAGAACCAGCATGGTTTTCAATTATATGATCCAATAATGCACCAGTAGCACTCTGTCCGCCTTCAGTCAGCCAATATTCTGGTACCATCGCTGAAAATTCAGATAAAGAAAAATGTATCACAACATTGCAGATGCAACATAAACAATGATGAACAATTTGATTAATAATAAATAAAATAGAAGATGATGGACATTGTTAGAAATTTCTCCTTCATTGTGGTTCGCCCCTAACAACCTAATTGCTGTATTTGGGTTGCCTTTGTTGCAGCCTCCAACACCTTCATTGTGTTGGGCATAGGGGTGGATTTAGTCCAACATTGCCAAGAGATATGGCATGTGTAGTGTTTATAAAGTTTAGACAACCCTCACCTTACAAGTCGGTTTTGTAAGATTGAGGGTTCAATCCTAATTTTAAGATGGTATGATACCATTGGTATCAAAACCTATCATAAACATGTTGGGCTTCCACATTGTCCACACTTCAGGCTCATTGGGCCCGAATGTGATGAGGTGTGTTAGATATTCCACCTTCATTGTGGTCCTCCCCTAGCCACCTAATTTTGGCAATTCAGTTGCCTTCATTGCAGCCTCCAACATCTTCATCGTGATGAGTATAAAAGGGTGAATTTAGTTCCGCATTGCCTAGAGATATGTCATGTGCAGTGTTTATAAAACTTGGGTAACCCTCACCTTACAAACCAATTTTATAATGTTGAGTTATCCAATCTAAATTCTAAAAGACAAAGAACAGATTATCAAGTCAAATTTAAATTCCAACGTTAGATGCCTACTACTTTTTATGCCAATAATAATGTTACATATCGAATAATCAACAAGTAACCATGCAAAATCTGGTGACAAAGATTCTTTTAAGGAATCTATTCTACATTTCATACACTACTAATAAACAGTGCCTACAATGCTACATCATATATTGTAACTCATACACATTTTGCTTCAATGGTTAAAAAAAAAAAAACCTTATAGTAATGATGATATGATACCTTATTTTGAACCAAATATTAATGATGATATTGTAACGTATTTAAAACTACTACAATTTTTATGCTACCCACTTTTCCATGTCAAGTTCCTCCATGAAAAACAAAAATAGGGAACGAGTTCATCCTTCTATGAAATTCACTTAGATTACCCTTATTAGAGATGCTCTTATAGTTAATAGTAACGAAGAGGAAAATTACACTGGTCAAATGAAAGTTGAAACTATATAATTCACAACCATCCTGGCACATTAATGTCTAAAATGCGTAACTTTCCATGGTATCTACCCACAATAAACAGTGCACAGACCACAAAAACTTCAAATGTCACAACAAAAAAGAAAGTAGTACAATGACATCCAGAATTTAGATTTAATTGATAAAATGGAGAAAATAGTAGTCTACCTGACCAATACGGACCCCAAATCCCAGGAATGAATAATTTGCTCCGGGATACAGCCATATGGCATGTAGAAGTACCACAAACTAACACCATACGGCTGCAAATTGCTTCCTCATCATGCTCTGAGGATACATAAGTTACTCAATTTAAGAATACTATTGCTTTATCGGATTGACATACAATCACAAGTAGACAAATCATGACAACCTTCAGCTTCAGATGGGAGCACACTTTCAATTACCCCCACACCACCAGCATGAGCATCAATCAGTGATGTCCCAACAGGAATTCCTGGCACAAGACCCAATTCCTGAAAATTTCAATCCATTAATAGTATTAAAACCAACTCACATGAATGTGTCCCATCAAAGCAAAAAATATCCATATATGGAAAAAAGTTGTGAGATTTTTCCAATCACTCAATGCATGTTTGATTTTCTAATGAACCTCAAAAAATCACCAGTTCAAACATAAAATAATGCATAAGCTTCAGTACAAAATTCTTGCCTTCGCTGCAGCAGGAGTAAGGCCAGAACCCAAAGGATGGCCAGGGAAAGCAACACTTCGTCCTGTAATTATGATAGATTGAGTACCAAATTAAGCAGTGGGATGACAGTAATAGCAAAGAATGGCACACAAAGCAGATATATAAGCTTACCCAAAGTTTTCACCGGTCAAGCATTAAAAATAATAATAAAAATAATTCTTCAAGAAACAAGCAATTACCAAAGTTAAGACATAATGATAACTAATCATATTGCTCCTTGACATTTATTTTTAAGACACTGAATTTCCATTGGGAGAAAATGTATTGCAAAACAATGAACAAAAAGTTGATATGATCTGGTCAACAAGGTTGGTTTTGCACACACTTCATATGCCATATCAAAAATTGCAAATTGAAAAAAATTCGTTGGCAGATAGGATTGCAAAAGCATGTATACTTATAGCATTTACACATTTTACAATTGAGTAGCAGTACAAATCACCTACTTTTTTTAACGGGATATTTGCATTCTATTACAAAAATGGCCATGGCTCAAATTATAAATTCAGCAGTGTGTGTATTCTCGTGTAGGTGGCCCAAAAGTGTGTCGTTAATAATAAAAGTAAGTAGTTTGTTAAATATGACATATAAAATCATTTCCATCATCACCTAATAGCTTAAACTTTTGAGATGGTTAAATGGTTTGTATCAAAATCTCTATGAACCAAGTAGTCTAGAGTTGGCTCTTGACAATGCCAATTCTAATTAAATGAATACCTATCTTAGCATGATGTCCTTCAAGAAGATCACCCAAACCAATTTCCTCCCAGAACTCATCATCCCACCCACAAGCTTCCATACCTTGGGAATCTTTATCATTTACATACTGCATGTGAGCATGACCAAGATATGTCCATTTACAAACTGTGGTGCAAAGACTACGAGTATCATCTCCAGTAGCCCTAACAAACAGCCACAAATTAATCCAAATACAACAAAACTCGAACACCAAACTGGCCCTGAACATCAACAAGACTTGAGAAAGACAGAGTACCTGTATGACAACCAGTCACTCAAGTCCATCCACCTGAAAACTATTAACCAAGATTCTTGCAAATTTTCTTTAACCCATAGAAGCTGGAAAGTTAGATTGCATCGGTAAAGATTTGCTAAAGCCATAATTGAATCAATAAAGGGAGAATCGTACTCAAAACTTTAAAAAAAAAAATAAAAAAAAAAGTACAATACACTAAATCATGCAGCACCTAACAAGTCTAGTAGCTTCAAAGGAAACTCCTAGGAAATATAATTCTCTAGCAAACAGGTCTATGCAAGCAGTATACTCCAAAAGTTAATATAAGAATGTAATGGTACAAATAAAATAAAAATCATAGAGAGCAAAAACTCTTTTTTGTGAAAGAATAATGGTCAATAGGTAATTCTAGCAGCAAGGGTGTTTAACTGGTCACCTACTCAAATAAACTAAGATGTCCTTAACTTCATCTAATACGGATTATGAGTTCCTGTTCGATTTTCTTGCAAATGTAGTAATTAACACTTTTGCGGATCATTCCATTAACAGTTGATAACCAGAAATGAAATAATGGGACTAGTTCTGATGGTACCTTTGGCGGTTGCATTTCAGGTGAAACACCTCCACCACAGTACTCCAATACAGGTGAGTTACTTTTATTGATCCTTTCGGCTTGGTCTACAGCTCTATGATCCATCCATACTATCACATTTCTTCTTGAATCACCACTCGGAGAAACCGAAACAGGTGAGCTGTCAGAATCCACCGCAACTAATTCATAAACAATAAGTAAGCATTACTTTCCATAAAATTAAATCTTTCATGAATAAGTACATCAATTTCAAAATAATTGCATACCAAGTGAACAAGTAGCTGCAAATCCCAGAGCCTTTACTTCTGTAGGTGCAACTTCTGCTTTAGAGCAGGCTGCTTTTACTGCAGCACATACTGCAAGCCATATATCTGTAGAGGATTGCTGTTTAGAACAAAAGGATGAACCTACATTATAATAGCACTGAAAGTGGAAAGCACCAGCACATATCTAACTGCAAGAATTGACTAGAAACTCATAACCACCACGCCCATTTTGGAAAGCGGTTTGTCAAACAGAAATTGACAGAAACATGATTCAAATTGATTTGCACTAGTAGATACTAGGTGAGTAGGTTCTGACGTGAAATCCCAGCAGCACCAGAGACTTATGCAGTATATATTACAGCTTCACGGGAAACCACCAGGTCCATTGATTGGGAACAGTCTATAGCCACCCCACCTCCACGAAAACTTTCAATATCTTAAGACTAACTTCATTTGTTAAAATATCGATACAAAGTAATAATAAACAAAACAAAACCACTTTCCCTTTGAATTCCTTCCGTAGTTACTAGATAAGCATGCCAGGTTACTTTTTGCATTGCTTTAATGGATTACTGTATCACGAGCTTAGGGTAGTCATTAGATTTACAGAAAGTCCATCCAATCAAGTTACCTCAACAAAAGCACCATCTTTCCATATCTGTATCGGGCTGCTAGACGAACCAAGAAGCTTCCCTTCCTCGTCAAACAGACCTGTATCAGTATTAAAGTTAGAGTACTAGATCATTTAGAAGATACCAGCAGCACATATAGACACTAAACAAGTAGAACTTAATAAAAACTATCATATAATATGCACACAAAAAAAACTAGTAGCTAGATATAGTAAAACAATCAGAAACATTGTAAAATACAGAGTAATTGTAAAGCAAATCTAGAAGTTAGAACTGGTTTTAGAATAATTTTGAGATGTTTGGTTCTTCTAAAGTAGAATTGATTCTGCCTCCTAGAATTAATTTGTGTATGTTTGGTTTGGCTTTTAGAAGAGGCAAAAGCAATTCTAGAGATGTAGAATTGATTTTGGAATGAATTTGAGGTGCTTGGTTCCCCTAAAATAGAATTTATTCTGCCTCCATAACTGATTCTACTTGAAGCTAGAAAATGCAACTTTTGAGTTTAAACGCGATTTTTACACTAAAAATCGTTATTCATCTCACTTTTACATAAATCTATCCAAACAAAAATCACTTTCAGTTAACTCACTTTTCATCAAAATCAATTCTCATCGCCGCAGAATCAAACTCAAGTCACTAATTACTATTCAACTCAAATCCACGTAGAATCACCACAGAACCAGAATCAATTTGTAACTTTTGAGTTTAAACGTGATTCTTACATTGAAACTCCCAATTCAACTCACTTTTACATAAATTTATTCGGACATAAATCTCTTTATTTTCAACTCACTTTTAGCTAAAATAAATTTTACATAATCAATTCATTCAAAATCAATTCTCTTCGCACCTGAACCAAGCACACACTACACACTGGATATATGAACGATCATTCAATCAAATCAGAAAAAGCATAGAACCTAAATCAAAACACAGCCTAAATCTACCATATCAACTTGGATGAAATTTCAAATTCTAAACACACGTGAAACGAAAATGCAAGTCATCAATCAAGCATTCAATCAAATCAAATCAAACAAGATTCATAATCCATTTTAACCTAATAAAATCATTGAAACGGGAAAATAAGATGTAGAAATGGACCAGCGCGAGCGCTGCCGGTGCCGACATCGACGCCGAGGAAGACGGAGCGAGAACTAGAAGGCTCGGTGGGAGAGGCCATCGCTTATCGAAGGAAACAGTTGGAACGATGACTGTGTGTTATCGGCGAGACACATTCAATATCTTCTCTTTTTATCTATATCTATTGTTATTCTTTTCCAATCGCATGTTTATTTTCCGATTTCAATTGTCATCATTCAGAATGATTCATTCTCGTTCCATATTGTGACTGAGAAGTGTGTTTATCAGTTTTTTTACATATATAATTAATTAATAAAATAATGATTAAGTATTAAAATAATTATAAAATGAATTACTTTTGAATAATAAAATTATTTAATTAAATAATTTAAATAAACTCTTATATGATTAAAAACTATAAAATTAGTATTTTGTTTAATAATTTAGAATTAAGAATATATATTGTTTCGTTCAGGAATCAGAAATGGAGTAAGGATCGGAAGTGATGGTGGATTTGAGCTTATGGCGTGGTGCGTGGTGGAGAGTGGGCTTACCTACATGGTTAGCATTTCACAGCTCAAGTCAATATGTGAAGAAGAAAAATGAATTCAAATTGTGTTTGAAACTACTTGTTACTTGAATTTTGTGCATTCTCTATATATATTAGAGAGTGAATAATAAACTCGTCATTTGTTATGAGTGAAGTGCGGAGAACCGTTGGATGTGAATGCAGTTGACATCTTTGTGATCATCAGGATGAGAGTCCTCGTGTGTTAGGAGCATTCTAGAAGGCATGTAATTCATTCAGAATGGTCGGACGGGGTCGCTATGGTCGACCCAAAACAATTGCCTCTCAAGCCCGTGTCTCTGTATAGCAAGGCAAGGGTTTGCTACTTTTGCTCGATCTCGGCCACTCTTGTCTTTATGTTTGGAAGAGTAAAAAAAGAAACATTTTGTTTTCTTGGGGAATCGTGTCTTTATTGCTCGATGCCACAAGCGTCTTTTCTAAAGGACCATCATTATGGCCCTTGGAAAGTGAAACACTTGAATATTGCATGTAAGTTATTCAACATGTTTGGTAGGGTCTACTTTCTTTTGTATGTTAGAGTACAACTCCTAAAGAGTCAACGTTGTTGTCCTTTGAGTCATTTTCTCAATTTAGCAGTTATTTTCCTTCTTAACATATATCTTTCATGTATTTGAAAAGTTAGTGCATTATGGGTAAAAGAATGCTTACAAATTCCAAAAGAATAATCAATCTTCTTAGGTAGATTTTGTCTACTCTTCCACCATTTCTGTTTTCACCAAAAATGGTAGTCTTTATGGAGCCTTTCTTGAAGTTGGTTCATCATCAAATTAGGGTGCCTTGACTCCGACCATAAATAAATGGATGTGCAGTAACTATGGCAATTGTGACATTCCTTTTTACGAATGTACTTTATCGATTATATGCCTTCGCCCACGCTTCACTACCTTTGTGATAGAAGTACTGAAGCATCTGGCGATGGCTCCTTAACAACTTTATCCTGCAAGTTGGGCATATGTGAAGGTCTATCAGTATCGGTGCTAATACCTAAAAGGAAAGCCTTTTGTGACCCTTTTGTTTCATCTCTTTAAATATCATTCGGGTTCTACAATCCGCACTCGAAGAAGAAGATTAGTTTTTCTAGAGTCAATGGTTCGGGGCTTTTGGACTCTTTATAAGCTACCGCCTTTTGAAAATCGGTTCCTTATGGTTAGCCATATCCGCCTGGAAGCTCACACTACGATTTGCATTATTGGGGGCAGAGTGAAGGGAAGATGCATTGAGTTGTTCCTCTAGTATTGAACTGAGAGTCACTTTCTTATGAAAAATATTGTGTTTGCTTGGTTATATCAAGATATGTCAGAATTGGATACTGATATTGTAGAGTACCGCCTTCCGCTTAAACTGGAATGTCCACTAGTGAAGCAAAAGCTAAGAAGAACGCATCCCGACATGACTGTCAAGATTCGAGAAGAAATGCAGAAACAGATTGATGTTGGTTTCCTTGTCACATCTATTTATCCTTAATGGGTAGCCAATATTGTGCCAGTTCCAAAGAAATACGGAAAAGTCAAAATGTGTGTAGATTATAGAGATCTGAATAAATCAAGTCTAAAAGATGATTTTTATCTGCCACATATTGACATGTTGGTAGACAATACATCTAAGTTCAATGTTTTCTCATTTATGGATGGTTTTTCCGGATATAATCAAATTAAGATGGCACCTGAGGACATGGAAAAAAAACAACGTTTATCACCCATTGGGAAACATTATGTTACAAAGTGATGCTCTTCAGCTCGAAGAACGTTGGTGCTACATACTATAGGGCTATGACTACCCTATTCTATGATATGATGCACGAGGAAATCGATGTATATGTTGATGGTATGATTGTCAAGTCTAAGACTGAAGAGGATCATGTATAATATTTGTTGAATTGTCCAGCGTTTGAGGAAATACAAACTCCGCTTGAATCCAAACAAATGCACTTTCGGCGTTTGTTCCGGAAAGCTTTTGGGTTTCATTGTTATTTACAAAGGTATAGGGGTCGATCTAGATAAAGTCAGGGCCATTCGAGATATGCCTACACCTAGAACAGAAAAGCAAGTCAGAGGGTTCTTCGAAGGTTTGAATTATATCTCCAGGTTCATCTCTCATGTGACTGCCACTTATGAGTCAATATTCAAATTTCTTCGTAAAGATCAAAGTATTGTGTGGAATAAATATTTTCATAAGGCTTTTGATAATATTAAGGATTACTTGCTTGAGCCTTCTATTTTGATCCCGCCAGGAGAATGTAAGCGTCTGATTATGTATTTAACAGTCTTAGAAGGATCGTTGGGTTGTGTCCTCAGACAACAGGACGAGCAAGTAGGAAAGAACATGCTATTTATTACACGAGTAAGAAATTCACAAATTGTGAATCCCAATATCCTTTACTTGAGAAAACTTGTTGTGTTTTAGCATGGGCTACTCAGTGTCTCTGACGATATATATTGAACCATACTACTTGGTTTGTATCCAAAATGGATCCTATTAAGTATATTTTTAAGAAGCCTACGCTGACATGACAAGTTTCCCATTGGTAGATGTTGCTATCAGAATATGACATTGAATATCGTATTCAGAAAGCTATTAAAGGGAGTGTATTGGAAGATCATTTGGCTCATCAATCGATTGAAGATTATCAGCTTATCCATTTTGACTTTCTTGATGAGGATGTTATGTTCATTAGAGCTTAAGATTATGATGAACGAGGTTCTGAGGAAGGACCTGAGCCTGAACCCTGATAGGGATTGGTATTTGATGGAGCTTCTAATGCATATGGTCATGGAGTTGGAGCAATTATAATTACTTCTCAAGGTTCTCATATTTATTTTACTGCAAGGATATGTTTTGATTGTACAAATAATATGGCAGAATATGAAGTATGTATCTTTGGCCTTGAAGAAGCTATTGATCTCAGGATTAAGAACCTCGATGTCTTTGGGGATTCATCATTAGTTATCAACCAGATCAAAGGTAAATGGGAAACTCGTCATCCGGGTTTGATTCCATACAAAGATTACGCTGGGCAGTTGTTACCTTTCTTTGATAAATTCAATTTCCATCATATACCTTGAAAGGAAAATCAAATGGCAGATGCTTTAGTCACCTTGTCCTCCATGTACCAGATAAATTTCCGTAATGAGGCACCCCAAATTACAATCAGATGTCTAGATAAACCTGCTCATGTGTTTTCAGCAGAAGAGGAAGTAGACAATAAACCATGGTAGTATATCAAGTGTTTCCTCCGGAGTCGACAATACTGTTGCACCCCAAAATTTGCCCAACATTTCTTTACCTAGCTTATGTTTCATTTCATGCACATTAGCATTATCATTTGCATTTCATTGACATGTGTGCAGGAGATCAAGAGGTATGATTACCAATTAAGAGCTATACAAGACTATGAAGCTAGCTAGGAAGGTTATTCAGGTGCTCAAGGGTTGATATCCTTGTCAGAGAAGTTAAAAGATCCTGAGAGAGAGGGATTTAAGCCAAGTGTGTAGGTCTCCTAACCTGAGAGTTGTGGGAAGCCATCAGATGATTCTGAGGTCATGAAGTTGGACTTGAGGTCTTGAGAGAGCTCATGAGAAGTGTTGAAGATCACTTTGAGGCCTAGACAGGTCATTGTGCAAGATTAAGAAAGCTCAGCCATGAGTGGTGCAATTAGGGTTTGACTGGGTCAACCCTAAGTCAGCTGGTGATTTGAAGAAGGTTGAGACCTAATTCAAGAGCCATGCGATCATGGATTAATACATTGAGATGTTATAAGGATGATTCCAAGGTCAACTCATCATGATTGAAGAGTTTGAGAAGTTTCAAGCTAGGGTTTCTAAGACTTGACAGTGTAAAATCCCCTAGTTTGACCCCTGTCTTCAAGGCAATGTAGCTCAAGATAGGATCTTCATCTCATCTTGATCCCAACATGATTGTTGTAGAGAATGAGCTTAGATTTAATTTGATTACTAGAAGTCCTTGGTAGGATCCATAGAACTCAAGTTATGAGCCAGACAAGTTACAAGTCATCTGAGGTATGTGAATTTGGAGCTTGAAAGTTACCCAACTTGCATGACACTTTTGCCCTAGAAGGATGATTCCTATGAACTTTTGGTCAACGTGAATGTTGTTCCTTATTCTCTTAGCTTTCTAGAGAGTACTAGAAGTACTTGATAGGATTTGTAGAACTCAAGTTATGGCTTTGCCAAGTCAAGGGTATTTTGGGAAGTTGTGATTATGGGTCATGTTTGGTTATAGGTCATTTTCACCAACTTAGACATCTTAAATGAAATTTTGTGCAACTTGAAAGTTGCTCAAAATGGGGTTTTAACCTTTAACATGTATCAAGGAGGCATTGAAATGGCTCAAGGAGAGACTTGGTTCAAGAAATTGTGAAAAATGAAGAATTAAAATGAATTAAATGACCAAAATTTCAAATAAATCATTTTTTGTGCAAATGAAGCAAAATAATATCATTTTTTGAATGGAAAAGGCATTTTGGAAACTTTGGCAATATTAGAATTTTGATT